CGTACTCCTGCCCTTGCAAGGTTCACAACAACCCCAGTACCTACATTCCAACTTCTTTCTTTCCCAGATTCCTTACCAGTCTCTCCCTTACTTCTAGCTGGCAACCTGGAAGGGTTGGTCTGCCCAGGCTCTAGGTGCCTTATAGTTTCTCTTCCCTTGGTACATGCTTCTGGAGCACAAGTCTTTTTTCTCTAGTGGTGAGCCGGCAGTTCGGCTGGTATGTCCCCTCATTTAAGAATCTGGTTGCTCGGTTCTCTGGTCTTAGTTTCTGGTTCCAAATTCAGTCTTCCTGTAGCACCATTAAAGATCACTGCTACTCTCAACTTGGGACTTGCCAAACGGGTTTTTGGTAATTCCGGTTTCCTGGATTTATTGTGCCAAAGCTTCCATTCGAGATGGTGTGACCAAGATTACAAATATCTAGATCCAACTGATAATCTTAATGTTAACCGATACAGATCTAGTTTTTTCGAAATTATTGTTCGTGGGATTCGAACTCTAGACCTGCTGTTTGGAGGGTGCGACAACTCCACCACTTCACTAAGTCACTACTAGTGTTCGGCACAATCAAGCAAAAATTTGGCAATCAAATACTTGGGACTAAATCGGACATCAAATGATTGCAAGTTAACCAAAACAGAATATATAGTATTGGTTAACCTATAATCATTTAATGTCCGATTTAATTACAAGTATTTGATTGTCAAATTTTTGTTTGATTTTGCTGAGCACTAGCCACCACACCTCTTTATTTTATCTTTTAAGTAAACCTGTTCAGTATAAAATTTTATATATAATTATTTTTTTAAAATTAAAAAAATTTTTTTTAATAAAATTTTGTTAAGAAAATATACAAAATTTTAAAAAAGTGTTCTAAATAACTTTAATTTACTATTTTTAATTTACTTAATTCTAGAGTTTGAATTAAGTTAATATGCAAGTTGAAAATAATATAAAGCTTAAAGTTTATAGTAATTTATAATCATTCTCTTCTACAATTATACAGTTGAGTATATATCTATCTAGTGATAGTATAGAAGTATAACTATATAAAAATACTTCTATAAAATTATATATAGTAATATAAAATTATTATTATTTTTTTTTTGAATATTAAGGTGACTACTTAGGCTCTAGCACATAGCTTTATTCAGATAGTTACGATATTATATCAAATTTACAAGGATATAACTAGCCACATGTGTACTTTTGGTACCTAATTTAAGTAGTTCACCTGGGTTTTATACTAGCCACCATACCTGTAATCTAACTAGAAGATTACATATTTAAGCTCTCTGATTATTACTAATAAGAGTACAACTAGCTATATATGCAACTTTTGGTTATCTATTTAAATAGTCTGCCCTAGATTCCACACTAGCTGCCATACCTGCACCCAACTATGGGGATACTCATTTAAATTCTCTGGCTCCATTTCTGTAACACATTTTACCCTAACACTCTTAATAAGATTAGCAATGCCGTGTAAGATTCTAAGACTTTAGCCACATAGGCATTTATCCTTGTGGTAAACCTAACAAAATGGTACATATTCCACACATGTACTCACCTGCATGTTTGGTAACTTTCCCCAACTAGTACCTGTTGTGCTACCACTATCAGGTCCATATCTCAAGCTATCGTTTCGGATACTGCCATAACCCAATTCGTATCTCAAGCCACAACCTTCCTAATTAGTTTCCACTTACATACTCCTGCCCTTGCAAGGTTCACAACAACCCCAGACCAACTGAGAATTTATATACACAATCTTTGTATAATAGATAGAACCTTCTGTAACAATCATAGTTATACATAGTACTAACTTTTTTGCAATAGACCTCCTTCTGGAAATTCCTAACCCAAACTTGTACTTGCTTGAACTTTTCATAATGAGTATATTTAAATATTTGTAGAATCTACACCTACTAGGACTTGAACCTAAAACCTACTCATAAAGAGTTGATACTTAATATTTATACTAATTCTAATTAAAAATTAAATATTATTATAAGTTAACTAAATTTTTTTTATTTTAATATTGTTTTAAAGTTTATTTTTAAACTATTTTTAGAGATCTATTTAAAATTAGCTTTTAATATATAGGTTTTATTTAAATTTTTTGAAGCTAATTTTGAGTTGTTTTTATTTTAATTAGATTATATATATAATTAATTTTAAGTTTTTATATAACAATTATATTTTATATTTAAATAATTTAAATTTAATTAAATTAAAAAAAATTTCTTGTCTAAAATTTTTATTATAGTAATTATAAATTTACACTAGTCAAAATTTAGCAAATTAGATACAAATTAGATATATCTATTTATAACTAATTATATCTAATTAATATCTAATTTTTAAATTTGACAATCTAATTGATACTAATTTATAATACAAATTAATATACAATTTAAACAAAACCAAACATCAACTAGATATTAGTTAAAATTAAGAAGTATTTTTATTTTAAAAGATTTTAGATAATTTAGAATTACAATAATAAAGTTATAAAAACCTTTTTGGTTATTGTTGAAATAGAGCCAGATAAAGTTTTAATCAATAAGATTAGAGAAGTATAACTAGTCAAAATCTTATTGCTGTAAAGATCACATAGCAATATTTTTAGCTTTGCAAATATTTTTAATAAAACAGCTAGTAGAGCAATATATAATTTGCTAAATACAGTTTATCCTCATTAATATCAACCATATTAATATCAACTTAAGCTATAAGATAAATTTATTCTCTCATATACAGTATATTAACTTTATTATAATCTCTTGTTAAAATCATTATCAACATGAATTTAAACCAATTAAAATAGGTTTATATAAATGAGGGTAGACTGTACTATAATTATAATTTATATTTATAAATTTATAATATAGTTAAATTATTTTTTTAATTAATTTAAAAATATATACAGTATAATATTGTAATTAGCTATTTTAATAGCTAATAAATTTTTTAATAATAAATATTTATAATTAATTATAGTATACGTATATCAGTAGTATATACGTATTAAAATTATAGCTACTATATTTCAAAAACTAGCTAAGAAAATAGTGCTTTGTATTCTATATAGATAAAAATATTAAAATATTAGCATTTTAAAAATCTTAAAATATTATAAAAGCTTGAAAATTAAATTATCAGAATTATAAATATATTGCTTATAATACTTATTATTCTTTATTTTACAATACATATTTTGCTAATAAAATAAAAATAGAGGTTTAATTATAAAAATATTAAAATTGTTTCTGTAAAGTTATTATTTAAATATTTTTTTAAACCAAGCTTTGATTGATTTTTTAGATTTCTTTACTGTGGGTTTTGGTGTGAGTTTGGGATTAGATTTAGAATTGGACTCGTTCGTTACCAACTCTGAAGCGGATGGCTTTATTTTATTACCCTTTTTCATTTTATCACACATATGATCGGGTTCTAGACGATGTTTTATGCAATAGTTTTTGCCACATCCTGTACAAGTCAAACGGATAGCAACCCTTTCTTTGCATCTACTAAAAGAGCAAGAGTTGAACGGCTTCGAAGAAATAGTTGCGGGTGGTGGGTGACAACCTTTCGCTATATGTTGTTCCATCTTGAAATGGCACCAATAAAAAAAGTGAAATACAATACTGTAGGATTTTTCGTTCTGATAAATGAATAGAATTTTAACTGAAACTTACTCTAACATTGGGGTCCTCGCCTCTGACGATTGGAACAGGTATACCACACAAGGGACAGGTTGGAACTCGCTCGCCGTCTCCGCTAGGAGCATCGTTACAATTATGTTCGCTGGGCTTTGAATGATCGAAACAAAATTCTTTTCTACAGTATTGACATTTAGTTGGGAGATAATCTAATTGTTTGCAATTGGGATTAGCGCAATGTCGTCCTATGCCCAAAAGTTCCATACTAAAAATTTACTCTTTTAGAGGAAATAGTTTTCCGATTTTGAATTAGAATTTGGTAGCATAAGATTTTACGTAATTGGTTAAAACTAAGGATCATGCCCAAACTTAGCACACCCAAAAAATTTTGTACCCCTGTAATATCAGCCAATCAAAAGTCCAATCAAGTTTATTTGAGCGAGTGGTACAAATCTAAAAAAGGAATTCAGAAAATCGTCCGGTTTTAGGTCCCGATCCTGCGCATAAATTTTGTCGCGATAGCATTATTGGCTTATTTATAGAATTAACTGTTAACGTAATTGAAACGCTCAGTATTTTTTAACCAATCAATCCAAACGAAGGCATAAATAAGTCCATCATTATACTTACGCGTAAAAATTGCTCTGATAATTGCATAAGACTCTTTTTCTTCTTTTATAATAGCATCATCGATATGAAGATTGATATGAGCATAGAATTCTCCATTGTTATCTAGAAGTGTATACCGGATGTATTGGTAAAGTTTAATAGTATGTGGTTTGATATATTTACGTTGTTTCATGTATTTTGCATATGCTGCAAAAAGGTCATTTTTTATTGTAGAGTTATTATCAATATGATTTGTCAATTGTAAATATTAAATTTTCAAATCAATTAGTTGTTTTCAAACTCATATGTTGACAATTCAGACATCTTCTGAAACTATGCCCGTATCTAAAGATTTTATTATTATAGTATTAAGTAGAATAAATATATAATATTAATGTAAAAAATATCTTTTTTAGAAATGTTTTTCTGGGTGCAAGTCTTCAGTTATATACTATTCAGTTAGAAGCAATTGAAGGTGTAAATCTTTAATAATACTTTTCAATTCATCTCTAAAATTACTTTTATTAAACTAATCATTAGGTTCACTATTAATTAAATATTGAATAGCTTGCAAGACATTGGTATATTGTATTAAGTCAAATTTGATATTTTTTGATTAGTTCTAAAAATGTCTTAATTAGTCTAAATACCAACATATATTGTATTATAATGCTATTATAAGTTATAAAACATTATATAATAATTAATAATAACAAAAGCAAATTCATCAACTCTCCCTGACGATCCCTCATACCAACTTCTCCAAAAAGGCTGACCTACGAAAACTATACAGTTAATACGTTTAAATACCACAAAACTTCACTAGTAGCAGCAGGGAACAATGGCTATTCACTGCATGTTGGCGTAAGTGAAATAG